GAGCTCAGCTGTAGGAAACTAAGGCCTCATTGAAGTCAAGGCTGCTGCCTTCAAGGGTGAGAGAGTTAAATAGGTTGGAGCCCAGCTGTGAAAAGCTATATTAACTAAAAATACCAGTGATCTCGGGGCTACTTCTGAGTTAAAACCCTTGGCTCTTACTTTTTCCTTATAGTTTCTTCAAGTGTAACAGAGCAGCTTTGAATTCATGCAGCAGCAAAACTGTGTTCCTGCAGAGGCCCAATTTGTTTCTTTGCCCTGCGTCACAGGCTGGCATTGCTCACCGTGACAGCCACCCAGGCAGACAGAAATAGCAAGTTGGAACATTGCATCCTGGTGCAGCACAGCCCAGAGGTCCTTTGCACAGGAGGTGCTTTGCACTGGTTATCACTGGGAGAACGTCTTTGTAGCCAGAGCCTTGGTTATCAGAAGCTTTTTATGGCAAGAACAAGGCCCAGGGCCAGCAGGGCAGATGCGACAGCTTGAGAAGCTGCAGCTTTTCTGGTTGTTGGCAATGCGGTGGTGGAAGAAAAATCCATTTGTAGTGACACAGCTCCTAGAAGCCAATTCTTTATTGAAAGATCTTGAAAGCATTCCAGTACAGACTTAGCTGCTCTACTGTAGCTTTGAGTTTATGAAGATGAAAAAACATTTTTGAAGGAAAAAAAAAGCAAGATGGGCATCTCTATAAAATTTCATAGTAGATGAAATTCAAACACTGATTACACCAAAGATAAACATCAAACCACAGAAATTACACACAGCCCCAAGGCAAAGCATGTATAAATGTGCACAATTGCACTTAAGTCTGTAAGAAAGTTATGACAGGCACCACTGCCCAAGCACTCCATATCCCGGGTCAAGAGGGCACCTGATGGCTATCTCTGCATTCAGAACAGCAGTTTGGAACCAAGGAATGCCCAGAGTGTTCTTGTACTGCACATTTGGCTTCTTGGGTGAGTGAGCAATGACCTGGCCGTGCCCAATTGAAGGTTTTTTTAAATAAATTATTATTAAACCAGTTTCACTCATAGCTGTTGTTTTGTGCTTCTCCCTTAGCCAAGAATCCCAATGTCTCTGACCACTGCATATCCACCACCCGGGACAGAAAATGTGGCTCATGGAACCCTGATCCCAGGGAAGGCAGCAGAAATCCTGCGGTGAGTCTAAGCTCCTCTCAATTTCCGAATATGTAAAAAGCAGTGATATTGCTGATTTCTCTCCACACCCCCATTTTCAGCTGCTCCAGGATTATTCTCCAGCCCTAAGCATTTCAGCCCAAAGGGACTAACTGTAATGAAGGCCTATATTCAGTTAATTACTGTATCTCTGCCCCATTTCAGTCTCCTGTTCATCATCCAGAGAGACCAGCTCTCCTAAATCCAGGCTGCAAATGACTTTATGGGAGTTCCCTCTATAAAGCATGAAACCCCCATCTTTGCAAGTGGTGGGGAGACTGAAGTTGGAAATCCATTTGCAGCCTCAACACCTCTCCTGGTAAATCCTCCAGCAACATGAGGCCACCCCCATGCCTTCCGTATCCTCACAGTAAAAATGAATACTTAGCTGGACAGCATTTTTGCCTTTCTGCACCTACAGCCCACCTTCCTACAGTGCCTGTACAGAGAGGGATTCCACTGCTCCAGTGGGCATGTTCAGGCAGGAAAATATTCATACCAAATCCATTGGATTTCAGAATCCATCCCCTAAAAAGTAGAAAAAAGTGAACATTTTTTACAGCTTGCTCAGGAGGTCACCCCTAATGTTTGGTTCAGTCTGTCATAAACAAAAATACTCTTTTTGTTGTAACCTCAGATGCACAACAAAGACAGTGAGCTAGAGAGCAAACATTCCATTTTGTTTCATTCAAAGTGCAAGATCCTTCACGGTCCTGGAATAATAAACCTCTCTGGCAGGCAGCTGTGGTTTTAGAACAGTTTGCTCTCTGTCCTCAAGCTGAAGGAGCTCTGCTGTGCAGGAGGATCCTGCCAGTCCCTGGGGGGTACAGTGGAGCTGCTGCTTGCAGAGCTGCCATGGGCTGCAGGAGGCCTAGTGACCAGATGGAAAACCTGAAGTGTTCATTGGGCCTGGCTGGGATGGAGCTCCTCTCCCCACAGCACCCTCACAATGCTGGGCTGTGTATTGGCACCCAGAAAGGGGCTGGTAACACTCTTTATTAATTATCTTTATCTTGACCAGGTTTTGGGGTCTTTTCATTTTATTTTCTGCCTCCAGGCCCCACTTTGCTGTGAGGGGGAGTGATGAGAGCAGCTTGGGCAGCTGATGTTCAGCCAAGGTTCATCTTCCATGGTCCTTTTTGGCACCTAACAAGGGGCACAGACAATGGTAGCTTTGTATGCAGTGTGTTATTGCTGCAGCAGCCACAGCCTCCTGTGGGAGTCAGGGAGTTTCTGGCTGTACTGCTTATCCTCTATAAGGCTGAAGCTGGAATGTGTTTGTACAAACAATGGCTCTGGGCTGTGTCCTGGCACGGATGGCCTTGCTGAGCTGCAGGAACTGTCTTGTCTCCACAAGAGGATGAGGGAATACAACTCCCTCTCCTTGCTCTGGATTGGTGTGGATGATTGTGCAGGGTCCAGGGGTCCTTGTTCATGCTTACATGAGCTGCTAATGCTCCTGACACTGTTGGCACACCACGGGGTTGGTAGAATCTGGTGTCATCATGGTACAAGAGAAGATTTCTGGGTGAGGCAACACTGAAATGCACCCTGAGGCAGCTGTTCCCTGGCTGGCAGGGTGTGTGCAAGGATTTGGGCAGGTTCCTAGCACAGGTATCACCACCCAGAGCCTGGGACTTTACACCTGAATGGGCTCCAACCCTGGCAAACCGGTGTGCCACCTGATGGAGGGGTGCCTTGCCCACCCCAGTGAAAACCAGCAGCTTTTGCCCCATACTGGGGCCTGGCTGTGCCTACTGAGCCTCAGTCCAGTGCTCTGAGAGGGCTGGGCTTGGGGCAGGGCTCAAACAACAGCAGCAACGGCAGGAATTGCCCCAGGAGTGGAAAAGAAACTGGACAAAGAAAGCAATGGATCCAATAGAAAGGATTGGAGGTGAGATGGTGCCCAGGAGTCCTTCCCAATCCAAGTGTTTCTGTGATAGTAGAGAAGCAGCAATTGCAACCACCAATGCACCACAATCTAATCATCCTCTGCTTCACAGAGCTTTGTCCTATCCCTTCCTTGGTAAAATTTCAAAGTTATGGATGGATCCTTCCCCCAAGAAGACAACTGTGCTGTTAGGAGAAATAAAAACCCCCAACAGCAACCATTCTGATCTCAGGTGAACACTGAACCCAGACTCTGGGGAAAATCTGAGGAGAGAGAGGGAATTAGGATTGTAAACCAGTGGTGTGCTCACTGCACAGGCCTGGGCACCAGCACCCACTACAGCAGAGGTTTACACACACCACTGCAGTCACAGCCCAAATAAGTACATTGTGCTCACCACACCAAGTGATGGCACAGACAATCCCAGGGCACTCTGCACACCCAGTGCTTAGTGCTGTCAGTACCACACAGTGCTCTGCTGGTGCTGCTGGGCCTTCCACCACAGGCAAGGAAAAAATAATGGACTGACTGCCAAAGGGTAACTCTGGACTAAAGGAAAGGGATAAAAGTAATAAAGATATGTACTTCACAATGGAAAATCAGAATCAGTCCAGGCACCTCAGAATTCTTTGTCTTTTTTTCACAAGGTGATTTAACATCAGGCAACTTCTCTTTCATTTTGTTTTGTTTTTACCATTGTGCTATTGGAAGCATCCATAGAAGGAAAAATACTGTGGCAAGTCTGAGAAAAGAGCAATTCTTCTCTGCCCATATTTCACTGCCACAGGAGCTGACAGCTGACACGGAACAGAAGAAGGAAGAGGTCTGAATGAGGCACACCAGGACAGATCTTCACCTGTGCCAACATGTCACCTGCAGTCCATGTCACAGCAGTGATATCAGCTGGATCAGAGCTCTGGTCCCCCCCCATGTTCACTGGATACAGATTCCCCTCCAAGAAGGGAAGTGGAAACACTTCCTTTAAGGATAATATTCCTTTCTGGTATCTGAATATCTGATATCTACTAGAAACAACATCCAAAACTTACAAAAATTACCTTACATTGTTACAATGCTCTCCCCTTTCTTTAGCTTGTTTGGGGCAATTTATACCTCCTTGTGTACCATGAAGAGACGTGAGAGATCACAACTAACTCAGACAACTGCAGCAGAGGGCAGGAAAATCCTCATGTATGTATGAAGAAATAAACTGTGTTAAGCATCAGATCTCGAAGAGTAAACTCTTTGAAATTAGCTTATTTTCTTTATTTAAAAAAAAAAAAGAAATTCAAGTTGACGAGTCTCTGGATATCAAAACTGTGCGTCTTTTTCCCTCCTCTGTGCTTCTGTCAGGCACTGACAGCAAAGAGAAGACAGTGCAGGGGGCTGCTGCATGGTCCACAGAGACTGCACAGGCTTTGGACCCAATGGAGAAAGGTTCCCATCTGTCCAACAGCACATGGCTCCAGCCTGGTCTGTCTCCTTGGAGCTAGAGGATCACAGATGCTGGCAGTGAGAGCACAAAGCAGCACTGTCTCAGGAACTTGTACAGCTACACCAAATGCCACTGGCATCAGAACCTAAACATTCTAAAACTTCTCCTTTATTTTTCACCCACTTCTCCTGGAGCACAGGGGAGTTTCAGGTGGTGCAGCAGAAGAAGAAAACAAACCCTCTTTCTGTCTACCTAAGAACATTGTGCGTTTGTTCCCCCGTGTTTTATCGGACAAGGAAGTCAGCATGTGGCTCAGGGACCCAGCTGCCAGGGAGCTGAGGGTCCTGAGGAGTACAGGTAGGCATGAAATGACTGTGCACCCCCTCCAGCCTCAGGTGAAAGCCCAGAACCTCGTCTGTGTGAACAAAGTGATGTGTGGAGCTGCTGGGGCGACAAACCCAGGACGCTGCCGCGATGCCGCTGGCAATAACGGGCAGCGAGACACGGGCAGCCGTAAGCAACAACGGGCACTACGCACCAAGGGAGCAGTGGCATCTTCTAACACTGGGAACAGAAGAGATGGACAAGACACTGAGTCAGCCTAGGAACAGATGGAGGTGTTCTCCTGTAGCACGCTGTGTCCAGGTAACGGCAGGAAGGGATCGCTGTGCCCTTGTCTTCATGCCCACCTCCCGCTGGAAGCGAAGCTGCGGCTGAAGGAGAAGGTAATGTCCCCGTTCTTGTACTTGCCCCAAGCTCCAAATGGCACTATGACAACTGTGCTGTTGTCTTCAGTGCCAAACTGCACTGCCTGAGAGCAGAAACAAAGCGTCAGCATCGGGGTCTCGCTTGGAAAGGGAAACAATGTCTGGCTTCACCTGGGACGGCACACCCTGAGGCCAGAGACTCCCTTGCCCCTTCCCAGCCCTGATCCTCCATTCTGATATGCCCCAGAGCTTCCCATAGGATATGCTACCATCCAGAACCATGGTCAGAAACTGGCCATTTCTGTCTATGACAGTGACGTTTTCAGCACAGGCAGAAGCCGCAGTTACAATCCCGTGCAGTTCAGTGGGCAGTGAGCTAAACAAGCTCATTGAATGATGCCTGGCAAGGATGTGGCAAGACCCAGGGTAAGGAAAAGGCTGGCCAGCAGGAATGGTGAATGTCTCAGCCAGCACCATTCAATTCAATTGAATGTGTGGTATTGTATAAACAAAACTCTAGTTTTTTTAAGCCAAACCAGCCCAAGCAGGAGCCTTGGTGGCCAGAGCAGCACTGGCATTACCTGCTCAGTGACCACATGGGCAGCCTCAGCAGGGTCATGGCACTGGCTGATGAAGTTGCAGATCTCCTGGCTGTTCACTATGAAGTTGATGCCGTCGGTGGTCAGCACCAGGAAGCTGTCATCTGCGTGCTGCAGCTGCAACAGAGGCACACGGGGTGCATGACCTGGGTGAGTGCTGCAAGGCAAGGCAACAGCCCCCATGGTTTTACACTCTTGCAAAGCACTTTTTTATTTTCTTGGGGTGCTGTGTGCTCTCCTGCAAAATGTCTCCTGAAACTGAGGGTTTCAAGGAAGACATGATAACACAGCAGTCATCTCCCTAAACCCCTTGTGGGTGGCACTCTATTGGGACCAAACCAATGGAAGTTCTTGGGGCCCTGGGAGGTGCATTGGGGAAAAGTAACAAACAGAATATGAATTGACAGGAGAGCTTCCTGCCAAAGTGGAGGTTGAACACCTTCTGGGTGTTTGTCCTCTAGATGACTACAGAGCTATGGTAAGATACGTGCAGCTGTCCTTTCCTCCTCCCCCTCTTCCTCTCAACTGTGCAAATCTCTCTACATCCTACTTTTTTGATGGCAGCCCATCCATATCCCACTCAGTTCTCAGTGATGGTTTTATACCAGCATTAGCCTCAAAAGTATTCATTTGACCACAGGACCCAAACAGACTAACAGCTGTAATATATATCATGTGTTATCTTTCTTCCCTGATCATATATTTTGCTGTGAGAAGTGAGATTTAGAAGTTGATTTGGTTGAATTTAGTACCAGATTCCTTTCTGTCCTGTTAGTGTTAATCTGAAACAACTTAATGAGAGTTGTTCTCTGGTTATTTCAGTAAAAAACAATGCATGGCCATCAGGCTTCACCTGGGCTTGTGTTGTGTGGGCAGCACCACTGCATCAAATACCTATGAAGCCCTTAGTCCAAGTGCTGCTGTCTCTGTAAACCAGACCTTCTTTTACCTGAACCCTTTTTGTTTCTGGCTGGGCTATCACACCACTGTTTTTAAGATCCAAATCTCCTATGCTCCGTGTCATTGCAAGTCTACCATTCACATGAGGCTGTCCCAAGCTGTTCCAGGAAATGAAGCCACCACACTTCTTAATCCTGTCCAGAAGCACAAAAGAAAAAGCCAATGAGTTACTGCTTCACACCATTACCCCTATCTCTATCCTCTATTTCTGTCAGTAGCTAGAAGGAGGAATGATGTATGGAGAGCCTATGCTGGGGGCTGAAGGTTGGCTTTAGCTGTTTGAAGGGCTCCATGGAAGTGATGTGTCTTGGTGGGCTGAGTCCTGACCTGGGAACCAAAGTGCATTTCCTCAGGTTCTGAGCTGGTTCTAACTTGGCACTTTTGCACAAGTCTGAACCACGTGGTCATAGCTCTGTTCTGAATCTCAGTGATGCTGATCTTACTGCTGAGATCTTATGCTCATGGAGGTCTTTCCACATCCCTGGTCCTCTAAACGGGACCCAGTGGCTGGAGCTTACCGCCAGCTCAGAGCGGTCTAAGGGCTCTGTGTCCAACTCTGCTTTCTTTATGGCCCAACCCAGCAGCAGTTGGACTTCTGCTGTCCATTGTGCTCAGGAAGCCACATCATCAGCCTGCAGGTACCTTTCCTTCTCCTCCTTTCTCTCTGGAGTGTGGTCAATGGTGAGTTTCACGGGCTTTCCTTTCCGGCACAGCAGAGCACGGCTGTCTCCCACGCTTGCCACAACCAGCTCAATTCCATCCCGGAGCAGAGCCACTGTTGCAGTGGTCCCAGAGCTCAGCAGAGTTGCTACAAATGTCATCAAAAAGAGAAGTTTTAGCACTGCCTCGAAGAGTGGAGTCCTTTAAAACAGCAACATTTTCAATTGGTAAAATAAAGACAACTTGTGCTCTACCTAATCAGCAAGTAACTGCTTTGAAGTTAAAACTAAATTTACACATACACAAAAAAAAAAGCAAACATGCATGCATGTAGGAGTGGAGAGGAAGAGAGGGGAGGTGGGAAGGATGAAGTGTTTCTGTGTTTCTGTGCAACAACATGGCTCCATGCAAACAGGGCAAGTGGGATAAAAGCAGTACAAGGTACAGTAGCTTCCTTTCAGTTTGTAGCAGTTTTCCAGCCCCATGAGCTCACCTCAAGTTACAGGGTTATTGTCCTTATCTCTGGGCACAGTGACTGCACAAGTAGGTCACCATAAAGCTGATGGCTCTTTCTTTCTTTTAGGTGGTGAAGCGGGCAATTATATAGTAATTTATAAATTATAGTTACAGTAATTGATAAATTATAGTTACAGTAATTGTAATTCCACCAGAGGGAAGCAGTAGATCAGTCTGTGGCATCCTTCTGTCACTGTCAGAGCTATTACTCCCCCTCTGCTTCCCCCAGAGGAGGATTCAGCCTACAAGCTTCCTGGTTTTTTCCAGGAAAGGTGCTCCCTGTGAACTTGTTGGAGGTCCCAGCACAAAGGTGAAGCTGGATTCTGGGATTCAGCCTTGCCTTGTGCCTGCAGACTGGTGCAGGTGGCAGTGGCTGTCTGGGAAGCCTCCGCGGCACTGTGGGATCACCTGACAGGGTTCACTGTGAGTGCCCAGAGGGCAAAACAGAGCCCTGGTGCTGCCCTCTTCTACAGGGCAAGAGAGGGAGCTGGGCTGGCTGACTGCACCCAGGGTCCTGCCTGGATTCACTCATGCCAGCAGATTTGAGGGCTTCTCACTTCAATTGCTACAATGGTCTGGAGAAAAAAAAGAAAAAAAAAGGAAAAAAAAGGAAAAAAAAGGAAAAAAAAGAAACTCTTGAGAAAGAGAAATGCAAGTGCCTATTTTAGGAAAAAGATCTGTTGTATAAGCTGCAGTGAAGAAATGCCAGAAAAAATGCCCAGCTTGCCTCATTTTCTTTGCTTTTTAAAAGGGCAAGTCCCACTTTACTGTTGTAATCTTCTCTTCCTGCAGATTCTGCAGAGGTAACCCAGCAGGAAAGGCCTGGAAAGCTCCTGCTAACTTGAACTATTACACCAAAATATCTGGACAGGACCAGCTACTGCCTGGAATACATTTGCATCTACAGCCAATGCAATTTCCTTTGAAAGGGCCTCTGTAGGTCACCTGCTTTCTGGGCTTTCCCAGTTATTCTGGTTTTTCAAAGCAAGCCAATTTGAGATGAGTTTTGGGCTTGCTTAGGAATGTGACTCCCCAGTTACATTCTTGCTTTCATGTGCTAACGGTTAACATGTCACTGTCTTTCCACCACTGCTTCTGCAGAGATCAGCTGCAACTACATGTGCTCCTACCTCTGGTCCTGCAGCCCTGCAGCCCTGGGGACATGGGACGGATTTGAGACAGAACTTTGTGTTTGACCCCAAGGAATGCCAGCCAGCCCCAAATCTGACCAGATGCCAACAGGTAGCAAGAGAAATGCAAGAACTGTGAGATCCTTACAGCCTCCTTCCCCAACCCTGTGAGGTCTCAGCACCTTGTAAGTCAAATGAGGCTGGGAGCAAACTGAAGTCACCAAGCCCTGGAAGATGCATTGAGCCTTGTTGTGCAGTGAAAGCAGCGAGTCCATGAATCAGAAAAGCCCAAACACAAACCCTCACAAACAGGTGGGTTAAGCTGGTGTTAGTATTTAAAACAGGTATTATTACTGCAGCCAGGACTGGGTTTAGCTGAACGCTGAACCAGCAGGTCAGGGGTGACCGTCAGTGGCCACGGTCACACCTTGGGCTGTGCCAGGGCCACGCAGGCTGGGACACGGGAAACTGGATGTGGCAGCTTCTGACTGGTGGCACTGGTGGGCACTGACATCCTGTTTCTCATCTTGTCCTGGGGTGACGTTATGATGCTTGTATCCCCATTCATCTGTTCTGTGCCTTTAAGACCAGCTCTGAAGAGTGAAAGTTCTGTTTGGGTTTCTCTTATCAGGGACAGAGATGGGCAGTACTTAGGGCTGTTTTCGCTTTTTGCTTTTGGCTTGCTGCTTTGCTTGCTCTCTTTCTGCTCTCGCTTCTGCTCTGCTTTGGCCTCTGCTTATTAGCTAGTTTAGCTAAACAGTCCACATCCCTTCCTGGACTGTTTCTCCTCTTCTTTTCTGTGACCATCTGAACCTGCTCTGGACTGGGACTGGGAACACCGAGGGTTTGCACCGTTCGGCTGCAGCAGCTGCCCCAGCGCCGGAGGGACTGAGAACAGAGCGACCACCCCGAAAGAGACTTTCTGATTTTGCCATCTTTCTCAGAGCGGTGTCATCGGGTATTGTTCATTTTGTGTGCTGGGGGTGCTGTGCCTGTTAAATAAACAGGTTCTTTCCACCTCTCTCCGAGGAATCCTTCCCAAACCGGTTGGGGGGAGGGGACGTGTGGGTTTGCTTTCTGGAGGGGCCCTCCTTTGGAGGTTCTCTACCAAATTTGCCCTAAACCAGGACACATCTGAAGCAAGAACTAGCCCAGTGCAGGGTCACTTTGAGGCATATTATGAAAATAAGATATTAAAAAGTACCAGTGCAATTAGAAATTTTAGTAGAACCAGTAAAATACCTGTTTTAGCCAACAGTTAGAACAAGTGAAATAGAGCAACCTATGTTAAACTACCTGTTTATTTTACAGAATATACCTTTTATATAGACATTAAAATTAATGCAGAACTGCTGCTACTTTCCCATTTCATTCTGTGGTTTTAGAACTATGCTGAGAAACATTTGAAAAGTTAAATCACATTCTTCAATTCACAGAAGACTGGAAATATTTGGAATTCAGGTGGATCTGCATCTTTTCAGTGCAAACTCCCAATGATAAGAGCTGCTATCACAAAATCATGAGCTGGTACTAAAGAAAAATATATTGTCCAGAATTGTGGTAATGAACATAGTGACTTGAACTTTCTATGTTTATTAGTTAAATAGCACTCCCAGGAAAAAATACATGCTGCTCACAATCTCTTCCTTGGATCCAGTTCATGCTCTGAGGAGGGATGCAAGAACATGCATGAAGCCAGATGTAGCATTATGTGATTTCTAGCACAGCTCAAAACCACAGGAATGATGATGGGATAGCATTTCTAATGCTTTTCTACAACTGCTACTAGTTTAACACAAAATACGTTGCATCAGCACATGTATTGGTTTTAACAATTAAAGAGTTTGTTTTCCTAACAATATCACTATAAAACTAAGATCTTTCAATAGGTTCTTAACACTCACTGGACAACTTCTACTGCAAGTCATCTCAACTAATGTGACAAAGAGGATGTGGAAACCTTCCAGTAGTCCAGGCTAGGAACCGCTGGACTCCTTCACCTGGGACAAAATTAAGCAGATCTCTTTTTCCACTGAAGCCCAGCTTAAAGTGTCCAGGGCCTCCAGTTCTAGAGCTGCTGACCAGGTACAGTGTCTGCCACAAATAACACGCACACAGAGGCAAATAGGAAATTCACCCAGGGACTTTGTTCAAACAAAATAAACCTGCAACACTGGAGATGTGAGAGTAAGGGCTGCAGAACAGGAGGTGGAGTCAGTCACTCTCAGGTCTGCCTGCACTGCCCTGTGCAGGTCACGTAGGAAGCACCTGCATCTTTGGCCTTGGTAAATCAGCCTTGGTATTCCTGGGGAAATACTGGCCAGTGTTCTCACCTTCTCACTAAAACTGTGTGACAAAACCAGTTTAAATTCAGCCCAAATAAAATCTAAATTTAGTTTCCCCTATGGAGATAAGTAACCAACCAACCCATCAAATGAAGAATTTTATCAATGCTAGAGGACCATCTGTCTCATAAATGGCAAGAGTGGCCACTGAAGAACATCTGCTCCCTCAAGGTAATTACACCAATATGGGGAGTTCAAACCAGTGCCAAATGAAATGGGGTCATCTTAAAGGCACTGGATAGAAGTTTATGAATTGTTCTGACTAATGGGAAATAGCCAAAACAAACATACCTTTAATATTGTAATTAGTATCTAAATTGATCAGGTTATAATCAGAGCCCTTGGATAAAAAGACTGCCTTTACAATGCTGATAAATTTATTAAATACTCAAGTACAATTTCTGCAGCTCTCCCTTTCCCTCAGTGTTGCAGGTTAACATATTTAAAGAAATGAAAATAATTTTTGAACGGTGACTTTAAAAAAGCCCAACAAAACAAACATTACTTTAAAAATAGAATTACTTTAAAATAACTTCAGCTGTTTGTCAGCATAATAAGATTCAACAGTAAGAACCCTTTCAAACATGGGTAGACAAGTTAATACCTGGTTATGTTTTAACAAGATGGCTATTCCAGATGTGAGTGGCCAATGTGATTAGAGTTGGATGCACTGAATGTGGAGGTTGATGGACAAACTCCCTCTTGTTTTCTCTGGCTCACAGTGAACAGAAGCAGTAACAATACCTGGTAGGATTCCAGTAGGCCAAGAAAGGGTTTGTCTCACATTTCTTCAGGGAAATGCTCAAATTTCCTCAAGCAAAGAATTTAATTTCTTATTTCTATCCTTGCTGAGCAAAGCTTTTCAGGCTTTATGTTTTAGTTTTTATGGCTGGTAAAAAATAGCAGAAAATTCTGCCCATCTCTGGGGGCCATGGATAATGCCATTTGTTGGATGTGAGCTTCCTTTATGTTCTATACCTAACTTTAGCAGTGATTTGAAAGTGACTGGCCTGTATTTAAATGCATGGATGTGAATGAAAACGCATTTTTGAAGAGGTATCAAACACCAAGCTTCAGGGCTCTAAGCTGTTAATGATTACACAGGATCCAGGCAGAGCAGAGATTATCCCAGACCTGCCTACAGCAAGTTTCTTATGCTTTTGTGTGAAACAGCAGGTATAGGTCACTGTCAGAGGGGTTACTGGAGCAGGCCCCAGCAGGCCAATACAGCTGGCAATAGCACTGGTGAACTGCATGCCAGACACAGCAACAGTGCCTGGAACACACACATAAACCATTTTTATTATTGAAAGCTCACAGGAACTACCATGCTATGTATTTTCTATTATAATTTCAAATACTGTATCACTGTTAAGTGACCTACAGAGGGCCATGCCCTTGAAGATGTAGCTGGGGTCCCCCAACAAGGAACGTCTCTAGTCCTGTTAAATTTATGCCTTATGTAAGGTCTTACTCCTTAAATAGTACTATAAGCAATGCCTCAAACCTGCCATTTTGGCTACAGGGATTTGTCCCAGGGTTTAGTTTCCTTCAAGCACCCAGGTACAAGTTTTAGAGCTGGCTGTGTGTTAGTAAAGAGCTGGACATCCTTAATGTGCACTGTTATTTTTGCAGACACAGTGAAGGGAGTGAGCCCTGGAAGGGTCACCTGCTGGAACAAGTCAAAGCTATTATTTTGCACTTCCTCAGCTATGGCCAGGTTTCAAAAGGAGGTCAGACTTGGGGAGCTTCCAGTGTAACCCAGATATACCGAGTTACACAATCAACCACCAACAAGACACTCTAGCAATTGTCTTGATCTTGACTGTCACATCCAGAATAGCCACACTTAATCAGAAATTTTGCTGGCAAACTGAATCAGTTTGGAAGCAGGATTCTAACAGACACATGCCAAGCACTGAAATTTTATGTAACTTTCAAAACATCAGCAACAACAGAAATATCCACACAAAGCAGTCAACAAAGTATTGAGTTACTTTAACAACAGATATGCAAGAAGTTTAATCTGTTCAGAAATCCAAACTTGACTTTGCACCCTGTTACTCCATTCTTTGCCTTAGAGCTTGATTTTCAGCCAAGAACAATGGGCTCTCTTAGATCCCTGATGTTCCTGCAAGATCATGCAGGTGCTCAGCCTGAGAAACACTGAGTGCCTGCCAGAGCGTGGCCCCTGTGGATGTTTGGCAACTCTTTTACCCTCTATTTTGCTTTTTTAATGAAGGGGGCTTGTGCAGTATCCTGGTAACCATTGCATACGTTTTCTGGCATTAAGCAGCACCAGTTAATTGGTTATGAAAAAAATCCTACAAGCAGTTCTAAAATGCTCTGCTTGCTGCACATTTTGTCAAATATTGTTCTTACCCAATTCTGTAAGCCTCACCTACAAAGTGTTATGATTTGAAATAGTTTTTAGAAAAAACAGAATAATACATCCAGTGCAATTCTCAATCCTTCTCCTCAAGGAGCTGCTCTGACACAGAGGTCACTGCAATGAGCCAAACCAAGAGCTGTCTTACACACAATGGGGCAGGGCAGGGGACAATTAGATCTGAAAATGAAATGGCCTGATCCAGGGAAGCACACAAACTTGTACTCAAATATGTCTTGGATTTGGGTTGGTAAGATAATACATTTGCAAAGAGGCTGTGGGATAAAAAGCACATCTGCTTTGCTGATGTCTCTCAAGAGCTCAGCTAAAACTCAGCTCATAGGTCAAAAGTAGCTCTGGTCTTTTTTACAACATGAAATGCAATGGGAAAATTACATTTATAGATCTGATCCTCCTTTTTTAAGGGCTGCATCTCAGAGCTTGAGACTTTTTTCCTGATCCTTGGTGCAGGCTAAGGTAAGAGGCAGTGCTGCAGCAGTCAGGCTACCTGATCTGCATTTGAGCTACCTAGATTCATCTAGCAATTAAGGTGCAGAAAGCCACTCCATTACTTGATTGTACTCAACCAGTGCTTCAGAAAAGCAGCTTGAGAATCCAGTATCACTTCAGTCCATACAGGGTTTCTTGGTTTCCAGTCTTTCTTGGAGAGAAGACTTTTACAGTTTCTGTTCTTGTGGTAAAACCTCAGCTGTTTTACCAGTGCCTGCACCACCATGGGGACAGGTTTTTGGTTGGTTGTTTGTAGGGGATTTTGTTTGGGTTTTTTTCTGTTGTGGGTAGGTGTTTGTTTTTTGGGTTTTTTTTAGTTGGGTTTGTTTGGGGTTTTCTTTTTAAAACTGGCTAAACTGACTCTCAAAATTGTATCTCATGGCTGAGAAAGCTCCTGTGACAGAACTGGAACAGGGATTTCTATCTCCCTTCCTATGTTACTTGCTATAAGCTCTGCTTGCTGCAACTGGAAGTTCAGAGGTATTTAGTCTCTAGACACATATACAAGAACTTCATTAACAGCCAGGATTAAATGGGAGTCTAAAAGAGCTGGTACCAGCTTTACCACAGCCTTACCACGGCCAAACTTGTTTTCCTCTTCACTGCTTTTTTCCCTTTCCCACTCAGCTACTCCTGTGATTCTGTTTGTTCAGAAGCAATATGGATTGCATTAATTTTGGCTTATGTTCCTCCTCAGGTGCAGCAGCCAAGTTAGGAAGGGGAACTTTGACACTGTTGCTTTTAATCCACGGGACTCACAGCTTTAAAGCAAACATATAAAAGCACCCACCTCCACACTCCTAAAATAATTTTTAAAAAAAGAGAATCAAAAACACCCCTCTCCACATTTCTTACCAGTAAAATTATGGTCCTTGCAAATCTAAATCACTCTTTGCTACCTTGAAAAACATAATCCTTTTTAGAATCACATTAAGAGAAATTCATTGATGATTATGCTAACATTCAGATTCATAACTCCTCCAGTAAATTTGACTGAGACTTACAGCAGTTATTTCATTTGTAGGAGGTAAAGCATAATTGTTTTATTTGCAGTAAGTGACCAGAGCAAAATCCTGTGTTAAGTAAAATTGTTTTCAAGCCAGTCTTCTGGACATTTTACTGCAAAACTACTGAGCAAATAAAACAAACTTTATTCTCCACATTTATATGAGTAGAATTTTTTTTTACCTACCATCAGCAGAGGCATTAGCATGCCTTTCATATGCTTTGTCTATTTCTAGAAAAGCTTTGCTCAAAACATTTTCCAAGTTCTCCTCCTCAGCAAGAAATTCCCTGGAAGCAAGCAAGTAAACAAAGAAATTAAACTTCTTTCCAAGAAATATAGATCCTGATCAATCTGTTTTGCAGTCTTATCTCCTCCCTGCACCCAGTGAATCATGCTGGACCTGAGTGGAAAGGTAATGTGATTTTACTAACTGTGTGCACTGAAAGCATAATCCTCCAGTTTTGGAAATATCCAAGTTCCTTATCCAGCATCCAGGGATATGATAGCTACAAAAGAGTGTAAGCAAACCACAGGTCAACAATTACAGAGGGCCTGTGTGAAAACAGTCCACACTCTCCCTGTGTTCCAAGACCTTTCCTGGACAGGGACACAATTGTGCTTTTGTCTCCTGCAGTTTTGGGCTTGCCCAATGGGGCAGGCACTAATGCATTAAGTCATTCATAGCATGTATGTTCCACCCAGCGCTCCTGCTGTCCCATAAGGACAGGCAGCTACATAACCTGGGAGTTTTAGCTACAATGTACAGCCCATGAAAGAAGGAATCTCGGCTGTAATTTATTTGATACACATCGCCTTGATGAGCACTTACTTAATATATTTTTCCATGTACTTATGACAGAAGTCTGCAGCTGCCGCCCCGCCGTGCCCATCGTACACCGCGAAGTACAGGATATCCTCTGTCAGCTGAGCGTAATCGAACCGGTCCTCATTTTCCTTTCGCTTCCCGATGTGGCTGGCGCAGCCCACGTTGCTCAGGCTCACCTTTGGGATGGGCTTGCCGTACTTTATGCTGGGTGGGAGGAGAATGGGTTCATCGATGCGGTTGTCCCAGATGCCGAAGGTGTCCCATGTGGTGGGCCGCCCGCTGCCGTCGGGGTCGAAGCGGGAGGCGCGGCGCTCGCAGGTGGAGATGGAGCAGGCGGCGGCGGGGCGCTTCTCGTCCTGCAGCAGCCGGGACGTGAGCGCGGCTCTCCTTCTCACCTGGAACCCTCCATTCCGTACCAAGCTAATTAGGGTAGCTGTGGACATCACTTGTCTTCGCAGAGAGTCGCCGGGGAAAAGGGACCGCGAGCAAAAGGTGCGCAGCTGCTGGAACGCCTTAGAGAATGAGGGAGAATCGATCAGGAAACAAGCAGCACGGGAAAGGGAATTTTCAGTTGCATCATTCAGGAAACAATGTCACCCCGAGAGGCCGCTAAGCGTGCGGAGCGCAGCACGCCCTGGGAGCCACTGCAGCGGGATGTGCGTGACTCACCGGGAAACTATCCCACAGCCAGCCCAGCTCTGCGCACACAGCCAGGGAGGCGCTGCTGCTGCCCCTGCAGAACGACAGCCCGAGCTTCCACAGGGGTGGAGAAGGAGCAAATGGGAGTGACGACAGTACTAAAATATGAATGTGTGAAAATATGAGATAAGGTTGAGAAAATGAGCTTATCACGCATGGTCTGCAAACCTCAGCCGAGATATCTGCACTGTGACTCCCAGGGGAAAGGGAGGAAAAATATATATGCTTGATATATATTTTTATAGATTTTAAATTTTTTATCTGCACGTGATATTTGTTTCTGTCACATTTATGGAGATCCTGAACAATACTTTTTAACACAGAGCTGTTAAGTTAATTGTGATTTTAAAAAATATTCTAATAATGATTACTCAGAGTGTATCCATGGACATCCACAACTGTACACACAAACTTCCCCCTCAAAAAACCCCATGCAGCTCTTTGCTGTTTTGTCTAGCTTGAAGCTCTCTGCCATCTAACCCTGAAATGGGCTAACACAGGCAGACAAGATCTTCTACTGGCTTCTCATATCTCTTTTCCAGCCCAGATAAATTCAAACACACCACTTGGCTCAGCACAGACAAAAATTCGCTAATGATGACTCACCTAGCATGCTGAAAAGTGCAGAAAGACTGGATTATGTGATCTTTTCTAGAGTAACACCCAACTTCACCCAAGTCCAAGGATGCAGTTTGTAATAATTACATGTGGGTGCAATGGAGTAATTCAAACTGGACCACACAGATCACTGTAACTAACCACACTAAAGATATAAGCCCAGTGAGGAATTTCTAATTTAATTACTCAAAAGTTTGCTAAGGGCAAAATTATGACTGAGAAGTATTATATGACAACAAAAGATCTAAATATACCAAGGCTTATGGTGAATTAATAATAATAATAATGATGATGATGATGATGAAAATATTAGGTGTTCTGATGTAATTGAGCAGCAAAGAGCAATACTTGTACCCCAGAGACACTTTAATTCTGGGCTGGAGTGCCTTGCTGTTGTCCTCTGCCCAAGCCAGTCACAACTGCATCTCTACATCTGAAATATTTGTTAAAACTATGTTTTTAAGTTGCTAGATAAAAGTCTGTGTCCTCACAAAAAGCATGCAATCAAAGGTAAATTAGTAATGGGTTGCTTTAGTAGAAAATGGCAGTGACAGATCTTTCAGAAGGCCTTCAATAAACATGTTGTTCCTAGCTCAAGGCATGTTGCTTCAGATGCTGTGGGCTTATCTTTCATGCAATTCTTAGGTTGCATGAAAAGAGGAAAGGTTTCTTTACTTAGCACTTAGAGGTTAACTGTTGACTTGATAAAAGGCTGAATGTTCTGGAAATCACTGCTGTTGCACCAGCTGAATATGGAACTACTTGAAATCTTTGGATTTTCCATTCTGCTGCAGGGTGACTGCAATATCACACCCTTATTTTAGCATACTTACAGGTATTTAAAACCTGGTTTACTTCCTGGAGCTGCTTTTTCTTTCATGCTATCCTTGACTTGCACAGCAGCAGGTTAACTTCCTTCTGTGAAGCACAGCAGGCCCAAACTAAAAGCCTGTCAATTAGCAAAACCCACACTCGCTTTCACTTCTGTCAGCTTGAGAAGAGAACATGAAATGCTTGCTATATTTAGCCTACCCTGTATCCACAGCATGAATCAGAGGATCAATCCAAACTCACAAGCTAATTAATGCATTTGTTCCCTATCAAATTCAACTCTCACCAGGCAAGTAAAAATAGTGACGATAGTTTTGCCTTCCAAGCGTCTCTGCAAGACAGAAGTAGGAACCTGCTCTTTAATTTGTTATGTAAACAGCTCTGGACACACAACAGTCTGTGCTTTCCCAGCTGGTATGCCTGCAAACACTGGGCAGACCCATCTGGGCAAAACAAGAGCGAGGAAATGAAAAGGGGGGCACCGGTGTGAGAGACAAAGTGCAAGATGGACAGTTCTAGATAGAAATGTGCTTTGAGGTGCTCCATCTGACCCTGTTCATCTGTCCACGTTTTCCTGGAGGGAAACGGTTCCTACAGACAGGCAGGGAAACACAGCTCTTAAAGCGGGATGAGGTGATTAAAACTGTGGTTTTACAGGCTGCCTGCTCCTCGGAAGATGGAAATTTTCCAGGCTGCCAGAAGCAAAGGGGAAGAAAAGGAAACCCGGAAGAAAGCGAAGGCATGCCTGCTGCCCCAGGGGATCCGACGTATGTAAAAAGGAATGTACAACTCCAAGTGCACTTGCCTCCCGTGCCTTCCCAGCCGCACGGATGTGGGCAGGACCGTACGGTTCTGGCTGTTAAGCTCGCCATAAAGCAGGTGCGTTGTTGTTTTGTTGTTTGGTTTTATTTTTTTAAATCCGTGACACGCCTCCCTGCCCGGACAGCAAACTGGACGCGGACAGCAGCAATTTAAAGGTGTCTCTGCTGCAGTTTGCGTATCACGAATTGCCACAGACCGCGTTTATTCCGTGCATATCAAAGCTGCGGCGTCCGGCGGCAGCCCCTGCGGAGCGCCAGCCGTGCCCAGCCCCGCTCCGTGATGTGCCAGCCCGGCTCCCTGACATTCCCAACCCTGCCGCGGCCCTTCCCGCCCAGCAGCCGCGGCTGAAGGAGAAGGGAGAGCGGAGAGAGCGGAAGGGGCAAAAGAAGGAGACGTTTGCGAGCGCGGCCCCTCACCCTCCCTCGCCCCTGGCCCATGCCCCGGGCGGGCGGGCGGCCCTTACCTCCTCCCGCGCCTGGGCCCGGCGGCGGCAGCGCCTCAGCAGAGCGAGAGCGGCGCCTCCCCGGCCAAGGCTGCAGCGCGGCCCCGCCGCCGCCGCCCGGCCCCGCCCGCCGAGCCCGCCCGGCCAATCGGCCCCGGCGGCGGCGGCCGCGCCGGCCGAGCCTCCCCCGCCGCCCCCGGCCCGCCCGCCGGCCGCGCCCGGCCCCTCACACCGGCCTGGGGCCGCGCCAGGAGCGGGCGCACGGCAGTGGCTGTGGCCGGGGTGACCCTGCCCGGTCCCTCACACGGGCCTGGGGCGGTACCAGGCGCGGGAGCACGGCAGTGGCCGTGGCCGGGGTGACCCTGCACAGCCCTCGGTTTCACAGAATCACAGAATCGCTTAGGCTGGAAAAGACCGCAGAGATCATTGACTTCAACCGCACCCAGTCTTTTCTTAAACGCATCCAGAGAGGGTAACTTCATCACCTCCCTGGGCAGCCCATTCCAATGTCTAATCACCCTTTCTGCTGTGGAATTCCCCCTAATTTCACAGAATCACGGAACTTACTGAGTTAGAGAGACACACTTCTGGCCCTGCACAGATCCAGCCCAACCCTCTCCTGGCACAGCCTTAGGCCGTGTCCTCTCGTCCTGGGAGAGGAGCCCGACATCCACCTGGCTCCAGCCTCCCTCCAGGCCTGGGTTCGGCAGGTGGAAGCCCGAGGGCCAGGACAGCCAGGCTGTGGCTGCAGCTGCTGCCCACAGGCTGCCCAAGAGGCCTCTGGAAGCAGCAGTGATGCCCTTATGCATCAAATATCCAAAAGATGTAAAGCATGGTTGTGTGTGCTGCTCTGAGGCAGCTGTTTCCATGAGCAAAGCCCTGCTGCCTCCTGATGAGACCCATGTCCTATCAGGATTTTAAAGGGATCATTTGCTCCACACTGTGCTACTGCCAGTCTCTGACCTCTGATGCAATTTGGCAAATCAGATGGCTCTGATTACAAAAGCTTTGAAACACGCTGTCCATTCCATTTTGTGCTGTCTGCTGAGACCAGAATACTCAAAAACAGACACCTGAGAGAAAAGTCAGAGCCAACACAATTTCCATAGGAGGTTAAGGAAGTTGCTGTCAAGTTTGTCCTATATATTTTTGAGATAAAGAAGCTTTTGTTTTGTTGGAGTGAGGTTTCTGGTTGCTGCAAAACCTGGTCAGAAAAGCAGCAATAAAACCTCTCAGACCTCTCACTGTACAGCTCTACTTGTAGAAGAAGGGGTTAGGTGAACATGGCAGCACGTACCAGATTGTTCTGGTTTCCACATGTGTGGTGTCCCACTCAGCATTTAGAATGGAATTTGATCCTGTTAGTCTTTTGGGGATAGCAACAGTGTCATCTGTCACTGCAAGTTGTTCTCTGGTTCCCGTTTGTCCTTGGTGAGACAGGAAAAACAAACCTCTCTTGCCAACTCTCCTGGCATTGGGCAGAGAGCAGCAGTTCTCCTGAGCACAAAGGATTCATACAGGAGTATATCCAAGCTAGCACAGTGAATTACTGAGAACAAAACCAGCATATTATCTGTAAAACAAATTTACAGAGCAGCACCAGTGGGGTCTCCTCAGAAGTGTCAGGGTCCTACATGACATGAAGGCACGAGTGCTGGGAGACAATTTCTGCCCCATTGAGTTGGCAGTGAAAGGCCAGCATGGAAATGATAAATATTTCATGTTGAGCCCTTATGTGCAGTAGAACTGCTCTTATCTTTACAAGGCTTTGGAAGGCAAGTGGGAGGCATCTGGAGAGGCAGCAGGAAAAAATGAGGCAGTAAGCATAAGAATAGCTTTGTGAGAAGGCAGAAGGCTTGAAGACAAGGCCAGGGCACAATGACAAGAATACACAGGTCAGGGGACAGGGCAGGCAGGATGAGCTGCAGTGCAGCATTTGGTGCTTTGAGGGGCCTCTGATAACACTTGGAGAACAGGAGGCAAAAAAAATCAGGAACACAAAAGGCAGGAACTTGTACTGTGCAATATTTGGTTTTGACTTCAAACAGTTAATTTGGACTTTCCCATCACAAGTTTTTTCCCCCTAAAGGATGAGGTAAGTATTCCTAGATTCCAGCTCTCCTAACAAGGAATCTCTGCTCCTGCAAGTTCTCTCTGTCTTCAGTCTTACTGCCTCTGTTTTTGCTGCTTCATCTTGTTCCTGACCTTTCCCTCCCTTGCTTCCTATTCTACTTTATTTTTTCTCCTTTTTATTCAATTTTATTAATGATTTGCACATATTTTTCTGTGTTTCTCTCCTGCTTCTTCTTCCCTTTTTCACTCATCTTTCCTGCAAGTTTCCATCTTCAACTTCTAAACCCTTAATCTGGGACTGTCTTGTGTGACTGGAAAACAAACCAAACTCCTGGGGCCAGGAGCAGGTTGTTTTTCTACGTGCTGTCCTGCCCAGCATTGTTACTGAACAAACAGCAGCTGGAATGCTGGGTGGGGGGAGAAGAAATGTTCATTGTAATATCCATGTATCATATCTCACACCAAGCTATAAATGCACCGCAAGCTGATTCTGAGTGCCAGGCTCTTTTCACCAGCACATGATGTTAAAAGTTGGAGAATTTACTCTTACACTGTAGGGGGATACAGTGTGGGTAAATGAAGGTGGTACAGAATGTAATCTTATCCCCCAATGAGTTGCAGCTGAGCTAATTACTAAAGATCAGGAGCAAGCCTGATGTTAACAGGCCACACCTGTAGCCAATAAGAACAGTGTTATAAAAGAGTGGATTGGTGGGATCTGGGGTCAGATGGCTGCTGCAAGGACCAGGAACAGTCAGTGCTTAGAGGAGCTGCTTGTGAGAAACATCGAGGAGGTATGAAACTCTGGAGATATGGAATCCTTGCACTATAATGATAATGGAACTCTTGATATGTAAGACAACATTGCACTATGCTTACTGTCCTCATAATGGATATTTTTTTCCTTATGGTACACTTCTGGCTAATTATCTGCCTGTACAGTCTAGGTCTCCTAGCAGGTCAGAAGAGACCAGAAAACAACCTGTGGCTATAGTGAAGTGGCCACTATTTTAACATCAACATTCAAATGACTAGCAACAGCTATATTTTCTCACAACACTTTTCAAAGGCAGCCCTTCAAAATCAGGTGAGCTACTGTGTCACCTCTGCCATGGCCATTTGACTGCCTGTGCTCATGCTGGACAGCTCTGGATATTCCAGCTCTCAGTGTGGACATTGGTGATGAGAGAATAGCAGCAGGAAAGCTTATTGGGGATCTCTTTTCCTAGGATGAGGAGCCAAATTTAAGTTCAGACCCTTGCCTTAGCCATGCTGTGGGTGTGCCTGGTTACTGATCCTGTGCTTTCCTGGCTGACAGATCCTCTCTCTTGACTTTGAATCTGGCTAGTCTCTGTGGTCAGGCTTGGTGGTCCCTGGACTGCAGCTGTCCCCCTGTTGCTGGCCTGGCTCTTCTTAGGTGCCATGAAGCTGTCAAGGAAGTTCCTGCCTGCCTCACCATCCCCCTTATTCCCCCCCCTGATAGAGCAGCCGTGCTGACAAGGGTTGCACACAGTCCTCAGGGTGTGGGTAATAAGCAGCTTTTCTCTTCCAGGGAAATGAGCTTTCTGGCGTTCTTGCCAGGTATTGCCCTTGTATAAATAATCAGTGTTAACACTGGAACATGACTAAGCAAGCTAACAGGCACTCTGTTTTGAAACAAGAATTAAAAACATTGGTTTTGACACTGCTCAAATGATGTGCAACACTTAATTCTCAAGCCCATACTCTATACTTTTATGGGTGATGTGACAAACTTTCTGTGCTCAGACTTTGGGATATGGTAGTCTTCCTCTGGTTATCCTACTCAATAAATTTCTACTTCATTTGGGTCTTGTGGTTTACAGAGAGACAGAAGGCATTCTGAAACAGAAGGGCCGCGTTGTAGCTTCAGCACATTCCCAGGACTGCCCAGATCAAGCTGCAGGCTCTGAACCAGTTCTCACTTGCAGGGAAGGTGGGAGTCAGTTGTACATCTGTTCTCACAGCATTCCTCTCAATTCAGATGACATGGCTTGATTCTGTCCTGGTGAAGATGGAAAATAAGCTCCTGTATTGAAACACTGTGCTGGGAAGGGCAGATCAAGAGCATGCCTAGAGGATTGGCTGTTGTCATTAAAATCAAAGTCAGCTTTCATTCCTTGGTGATCCCTGGCGTGGTGGGTTGCCCCTGAGCAGCCACCTAGTGAAGCCACTGTCACTGCCCCTCCTCAGCAAGCAGTGCCAGCACTGCTCAGCAGCAGCCAAGCCACTGCTGTGTTTTCAACACCACTCCAGCTACTAATGCAAACCACAGCACTGAGGACTGCTACGAGAAAGTTAACTAACTCAACACACTGAGTTTCCTAAAGCAAAAGAAAATGGTTGAATTGTTTATCCTGACTCAAATGGCTTCAGAATATTCAAGCAGTTTATTTGGAAACAGACAAAAAAAAGGCTTGACTGAGCTTTTTGTACCCCTTGTGAAGAAGATGTCATCTTAAATGCAGGGAAAAGTGAGTTAGAACAGAATGTTCCTAGCCCTTCACATTGTGCCTTTGGCATTCTCCAATTACAGCATGTTAGCTGTGTAAATTGAATTTCTCCTTGAACTTTTCCAACCTAAATGATTGTATGATTCTATTAGGAAGTATCATAACTTAGAGGTTGTGATACTTCAAAATATGAGGATGCCATGCATGATAACTTTGTATTATTTGTACATGAAATTGAAAGATCTGATTTTTGGGATGGTTGCACAGCAGCACAGCTGATTTTGTTTCAGCATCACAGCTTTGGTTTTACAAAGATAATATTCCAGATCAGAATTTAGTCATCTGCCTGGTGAGAAGAACCACGTGGCTATTTCTGCCTTGATGATTAAAGAATATTCCAAATTATTTTTGAAGAGCTGTTGTAATTTGACAGCAGGAAATGATTGGGGCTTTTGAATATGTAGCAAATATTTTAAAGCAGGCTTTTAAGTGGTTTCCTTGGCAACCACTCTTCTTTAGAGATCAATCCATGCTATTAAGTATCCTGCTGGACTCAGATC